CGTAAGGGGAAGACTGTCGGACGTCAACGAAGATTGTAAAAGTGAAATAAAATTTCCGTTCTTTACTGCTTCTGGTCATTTATAACGTGTATACGTAGAAAATCACATTACACAACAGACAACGCGATAGCTCATCCCGACAGAGCGTACCACACAGTATCACAGTTAGTATTGCAACAACCATGCAGAGGGAGGCAAGTGACCAAGGCACAGGAGAAGAAGAATGTGATACTTGACAGGCCAGAATTAATCGTGTTTGTATCATGTGAGTATGATCGAGCTGCATAGATCGCATTGCATCAAGGGCGTCTTTACTATTGATCGCTTTTGAGAAGTAGGGTGAGTGAGTCATGCATGTGCCGTAACCTTTTCGCGATTGTGTAACAATTAGTCATTGAAACACTGAGATTAAATGTGAGATTACTAGGGTAAACGTAATGAGATGCTTGCTGAATAAGACCTGCATGCTGTTGTTCTGTACTTACTACTTGTTGGATGTACTCGGTGTAGGTCCTATAACCCTGAACGTAAGCTAAACCATACCATTAATATTACCCGTAACCACAACAATAACCCCATACATAACCCTATAATATTATGTAACAACCTAACCATACTTATAACGGTAATCATAACCATAACAGCAACTCTAACACCGATTCTGCCAATTAACAGCGTAACGATGTAATGACACACTCGACAACAGTAGGTCATTTTCAGCGGGCTTCACAGAAGAAGCCACTTACTGGGTTAGGCGAAAGTATAGCAACATGTATCCGATCATATAGGCGAGATAGGTAGCGGGGTATGATAACAAAGGGTGACAATCGACAGTATACATTTAGTACAATAGTAAATACAAGATATCAGTGTCGAAATAATTAAAATGACATTCCGGGGGCATACATATCAATAGTAAATACAAATATGAGGTCAGTGTGTATAAACAGTAATTTATCGGCATCGGTTGATATCTCTCTTGTTCCTGCATTATTACCTCCGCCAAGGGGTTGGCAGGAGGTTGTTTTTACCTCCGCCAAGGGGTTGGCAGGAGGTTATGTTTTCACCGGCGTGCGTTTGTTGGTTTGTGGGTTTCTTTGTGTACAGCCTAACTGAAAAAGTTATGGACGGATTGTCATAAAATTTTCAGGATAGGTCAGAAATGGGGTAACTTAGAATTGATTACATTTTGGTGATGATCCCGATCCAATTAATCAAATTTTCAGGATAGGTCAGAAATGGGGTAACTTAGAATTGATTACATTTTGGTGGTGATCCGGATTCAATTAATTAATTAATTAATTAATTAATTTAAAGAAATTTCAGGATAGGTCAGAAATGGGGTAACTTAGAATTCATTCCATTTTGGTCGTGATCCGGATCCAATTAATTATTTAATTAATTAATAAAATTCCTCACAGCAATTGAGCTGCCTTGGCGGGGGTCTGCGCTCTCCGAGTGCTCTAGTTATCATTGCATTTGGTATCATTGGAAAGCCTATTAATTTCTCTTCGTAATGATGTCCGATTTGCATTGATTAATGTGCAGTACAGCTGAATATGCAGTACAGCACGAAACGAGAGTCAATATAAAGGAGAATACCCTTTTGACAATAGCAATGCATTTTGCAACATTCCACTGCATATTGCGCATGCGCTAAAACAGTAACGTAGCCAGGTTATATACTGAATGGTACATGCAGCGGGGACCTTATACAAGGTATGCTTCCTATTTCTGAAGTGAGGTCTACTGATGAAATGTTATCA